TGCTTTGTTGTTTTTTTCTTCTTTTCTTCTTTTTCCCCCCTTCTCTCTTCTTTCCATCACTCCCAATCCAAAAGGTAATTGGTCTTTTTCAGAAACTCATCCAGGATGCCATCCTGGACTTTAATTCCTTCATTAATTAGTTTGATGGTTGGTTAGAATAAAGAGAATTTTTTTGCCTAAAAGGCCTTGTTTTTCATTGGCATTTTCCTGTGCGCTGCTTGAAGAGTCCAAGCATGGGTTAAACTCAGCCAATCTGCCAAGGACTGAATTGAACCTTTAGCCACGCCTCTGGTTCTGCCTTGACTTCCAGTTTTTTCAATTCAGTCAAAGCCCAGTGGACGCATTTCAAGTTTCTCTCAGTCTTTTGCAGATTGGACTCTCTCCCTTTTTTCCTTAAATTTTGCAGTTTCTTTTCTTTTCCCCCAGAGTGCGGGCTTGGTGAGGTTTTTTGCTTTCAACTTCCATTCCTCACCTTTGCTGGGTCTGGGGTGTCCTGGGGTTCTCAGGTGCCTGGGACCGTCGGGCAGGCTATCAACAGTGGAGAGTGTGCAGTCTGAGCGCAGAAACACGTGATGGCCACATACTTTCCCCAGGCTGTTCAGCTGTTTCGGAGACCTGCAGCCTCCAGTAGCCGGCGGTGGGAGGTTTTCTGGGCTTCCTTCATTGCGGCAGCCATTTTAGATGACCTTTTTGGGCATGGTGGCCATTTTGGAAGCATTTTTTTTTGCTGTGGTGGCCAATTGTTTGCGGATTTTGCTGTGCTGTTTTGCCCAGATAGCCTAGCCACTAGCCTTGCTCTGCGCAGATCGCCTCAGGGAGCCTTCCTGTCTGGACCATCCAGCAGGTCTGCTCCTTTGATGGACCATGCGGCCTAGGTGACGGGGGGGGGGGTGGCCTCCTTAGGTCATTCCCCTTGATCCTCTGCACCTGCGCTAATGCTGGGGGCATTCCAGCTTGCACCAGGGGAGTGATTTTTTCCTTATCATCATTGGCCTTGCACCTTTACCAAAGCCTTCAGTGTCTCACTTGGGAATGCTACAGACTTCTCCTCATAGTGGCAAGGTGAGTGGTCAAGCCCTGGGTTATCAATCAGGCTCCTCAGGAGTTGGAACAACTGGGTCCTTCCACCAGCAGGGACTTCTCCAGGCAGGCTGGCAGGGGAGCTAGGGAGGCCCTTAAAGCAAGTAAACCCTCTTACAGACAGAGCAGGAAGCAGGCCCCAGACCAGGACAAGGATGCCATTCGGCACCAGAAAGCACTGGAAAAGCAGTTTTCCAAGGCCCAGCACTAGGCTGTAGCCCTTCCACAGGTGCCTGTCGGCAAGGCCTCTTCCGTGGCTCAGACCAGGCCCTTTCAGCCCAAGAGGGACCAAGACTTCTCCCCGATGCCTCCTTAGTTATGGTTGGTTGCCCCGGGCTCTGTGTGACAGGCTATGCTGACCTTTTTGATTTACATCTGAGGCAGACGAGCAGGTTCAGGAGGGTTCCATAGCCCCCCAACAGCCCCTTCCTCTATCACCAAAAAGGCCCCGCCCCGTGGAGGATCGGGGACCCAACCTCTCCGCAGAGATGAAGATAATTGCTAGGGCCATTTCCCATGGGATTGAGGCAGGCATGCAGCGCAAGGCCCACCAAAGATCCCGCAGGTCTAGGCCCACCCCAGGACCTATCGGGCCTCAGGTGACAGATCATGCCCAGAGACCGGCCTCCCCTCACTGACTGGGAGGAGGATATCCTCCCCGGCCCAGAGCCTAACTTCTTGGGGGATGAAGGGGCTACCCCTGACAAACCCATGTTTGCTGGTTTGTTCAAACATGCCAACTTCAAGACTATCTTAAATAAGGCTAGGCCTCAACCCATTTGGGCTCCTCCACCCTAGAGCAGGCAGCTCCTGATCCTGCGGACCTCAGTGAGGGTCTCTTTGAGGAACCAGTTCAGTATAAATCAGTATAAATCATAAAGATACAAGCAACATGGTTCTAGTCATAAGTGGGAGGAGATAGAAAGGATGATCCTTATGGTGGGAGTATATGGGAGCTTATATAACTTTAGTTTTTGTAATAGCTATTGGCCAGTAATAGGCACATAAACCCTTCAAGCATCTTCCTCTAGTATGAAGGATACCTACACTTGAAGAATCCCAATAAAGATAAAACTGGTTGTAGTGCCTCCTACTGCTTAATACAAGTCATTCTCAACTTATGACCAGGTGATTAACAACTGTTTGAAATTATAAAAGAACAATGTTTTACAGTCCATAAAGCACTTCTAGCCATTGCAAGATGTTTGGCCACCGTACCCATGGTCACATTGTATTTTGGGTTCATGACAATTGGCTTGCATTTATGACTTGTTCAAAAACAGACTTGCTATTTCTTTTATTGATTTTTAAATTAGTATTTTATTAAAATGTGCATTTGTATTCACTCACCCACAAACACACACACTGCAAGTAATACAATATACATACCATTTATTTCTTGCTATCATTCAACATGTTTTAATTAGTTTTATTCTAACCTGCAAACCCTAACAGTTTGGTTTTTATAATATTTTTAGTTTTTTTAAATAAAATATATAAGTTGTAATACAGAAGAAACACTTCTACAGAAAGATCACCAAAATGCAATTTGTAAGTTCAACAGCATAAGTAATAAATTTTAACTATCAGTATAATGAATTTAAAAAAAACATTTTTAATTCCCAATATTTAATTTGTTGATTAGTAGTACAATCCTGAATCAAATGTATAATGGTTATCCTAATAGAGGCATATAAACACAGCTATGAGGATACACCAAAATTCCTTTTCTATATCTAAATATTTTCACTTTGTCACATCCCTGATTGCTTCATGAAGATAGCTAACATACTGCCATATGCTCTATAGATTCCTCTTTCTGAGAAATTGAAATATAAAACTGTGTAAAATTTAATGAACAAAAATTACTACTCTGGAGCCATTATAAATGTTTCATTTCATAACCATCATAATGGAATTTGAGATTGAAAGAGTATTTTTTTCTTTCTCAGCAAATTTCTACCTCATCAGGGTTTATTTACAGTTTGTAACATCTCTCTGTAATGTTTTCCAACAAGCAGTCTAAAGAACAGATACTCATATAACAATTAAGTATAATTTACACCAGCAAGCTAATAAAAGCGAGCTGCTTTGGTAAGGGAACATGTTATTTTCAATACCTAAATCATAGTTGAAATACAAAATTTGTTACACTTTAAACATTGTCTGTGGAGTCCTTGGTACCAGATATTTTTTTACCATACTAGGTAATATCAGCAATGGTAGTGTGAACTTTATTCCCTGTTTATATATAGTAGCTTGCTTTGCCACTGGTTTGTTGGTGTTAATCCATGCTTATCTGGATATCAGCTGCTGGAAGGATGTTTTCTGGTCTTTTTGTTTCCTTAGCTTTTTTATTATCTCTTTTGAATAGTTTATAAATGTGGTTTATTTCGATAGCTGATTTGTCCGACTACTGATCTCACAACAATTTTCTAGTGTTTTTTAATTTATTGGTAGATTCCTCTAGGATACCCAAATTCCAAGTTGCAGCTATAGTTGAGTCTGTCTATGATTGTGAGATCAAGGAGTTTCATTGTGTCTTCCAATTGCTAGGTTGGTGTTCGTAAGATCTGTTCTGCTTGTCTCTCCTACATGGTGGTCGTTATGGTCCTTACACTGTATATTGTAGACAACTCCCATTTTTTTTGTTCTTGGGCTACTGGGTCTTTTGATTTATTTAAGATGTTTTGGAAGTCTTTAGTTAGTTAACGTGCTGTGATGATGCTTTCTGGTTGTTGTAGAGCAACATTTCTCAACCTTGGCAACTTGAATATGTGTGGCCTTAATGTTCCCTGAATTTCCTAGCCAGCATGGCTATCTGGAGAAATCTGGGAATTGAAGTCCACACATCTTCAAGTTACCAAGGTTGAGAAACACTGTTATAAAGTATTAGTTTTTTCTGAGGTGTTTTTGATGTGTGGTAGTGTTATTTTCATAGCTTGTACGTTTCTTTTTCTGATGTTTTGGTTGCTGCAGTGTTTGTACTCTTCTGAATAATGTTCTTACCCAGCAGCTAATATGGGAGGTTACGTTATAATTTTGATAATGGAGCACTTGGTTAGTGTGGACTGTTTTGTTTAAAGAATAGAATTCTTTATTGGCCAATTGTGATTGGACACACAAGGAATTTGTCTTTGGTGCATATGTTCTCAGTGTACTTAAAAGAAAATATATATATTCACCAAGAATCATAAGATACAACATTTAGTGATAGTCATTTAGTAGTTAGTAATAAGCAATAAAATCATACTAGGAAACAAAACAGTATAAATCATAAAGATACAAGCAACATGGTTCTAGTCATAAGTGGGAGGAGATAGGAAGGATGAGAAGAATAATAGTAATACAATCTTAGTAAATAGTTTGACAGTGTTGTGGGAATTAGTTGTTTAGCAATTGGGAAAAAACTGTCCTTGTGTCTAGTTGTTCTGATGTGCAGTGCCTATCGCTTTGTTTTGAGGGTGGAAGTTGAAACAATTTATGTCCAGGATGTGAGGGGTCTGTAGGTATTTTCACGGCCCTCTTTTTGACTTGTGCAGTATAGAGGTCCTCAATGGAAGGCAGATTGGTAGCAATTGTTTTTTCTGCAGTTCTAATTATCCGTTGAAGTCAGTGTCTGTCTTGTTTCGTTGCAGAGCAAAAGCAGACAGTTATGGCGGTGCAGATGAAAGCCTCGATAATTCCTCCATAGAATCAACAGCTCCTTGGGCAGTTTGAGCTTTCTGAGTTGGCACAGAAAGAACATTCTTTGTCATGCTTTTTTGATGATGTTTTTGATGTTAGGTGTCTATTTTAAGTTTTGGGTTATGGTAGAACCTAGAAACTTGAAGGTCTCTACTGTTGATACTGTGTTGTCTAGTATTGTAAGAGGTGGTAGTATAGAAGGGTTTGCCCTAAAATCTACCACCATTTCTACAGTTTTGAGTGTGTTTAGTTCAAGATTGTTCCGGTTGCATCACAAGGCTAGTTGTTCAACCTCCCATCTGTATGCAAATTTGTCATTGCCTCGAATGAGGCCAATCACTGTTGTATCATCTGCAAACTTCAGTACTTTGAGGGATCTTTTTGAGATGTAGTCATTGGTGTATAGAGAGAAGTGGAGAGAACAAACAGCCCTCGAGAGTTCCTGTGCTAATTGTACAGGTATCTGATATGATTTTGCCTAGCTTCACCTGCTACTTCCTGTCTTTAAGGAAGTTTATGATCAATTTATAAGTGTGGTCAGGTACAGTTAGCTGATTTAGTTTAGTTAAAAGAATATCTGGAATGATGTTATTGAATGCTAAGTCTACAAAGAGGACCCTTGCATAGGTCTTTGGAGATTCAAGATGTTGTAGGATGTAGTGCAGAGACATATTAACAGTATTATCTGTCAATTTATTTGCTTCGTAGGCAAATTGCAAGGAGTCTAACAGCGGGTCCGTGATTGTTTTCAGGTGGGACATTGCTAGCCTTTCAAAGGTTTTCATAACTACAGATGTTAGAGCAACTGGTATGAAGTCGTTCAGTTTCTTGATGGACGGTTTTTGGTAGACTTGTGTTTTTAGTTTGTTGTTATTTCCTCTGCTGATAAGGATAACTAGGAACTACCAAGGAGAAAACCACACTTCCCCAACACTGGCAGGATATATACTGACACTGTATATAAACAGTGAGTAAAGTCTATACTTAATAGTGCTAATGATGTTACCTACTCAGATAATGAAACATCTACAAAGAACCAAAAATAGAGTACCAAGGATTCCACAGTTCAACCTTGAGCTACATATATTCTCTTTTATTGAAAACATTGTCTCCTTATTTTATAACCATAGCAAGATAAGTTTGCTAGCAACAATTGAAATGTATCTTATCAATCAAAAATGTTGACTTCACAGTATTTCCTAAAATAGCACTTTATAATCTTGGGAATCTTTGCACTGAGAAAAATCATATACAGGTTAAAAAAGCTGCTGAACATAGTAATGTTAATTACAATTATTGCATCATGTTAGCACAGTTAGCTAGTATACTGATGTAATACACATTTCAAGTGATAACTAAAAAAGAAATCATTTAAATAATCTATCTTTACTTTTCCACATTTTTATATATATATATAAACTATCTGCTTTATATTAGTCTGTAAACAATGAGGCATTCAATGCGTTTATCATGGCAGAAAAGGAAAAGAAACTGTTCTTTATTTTATTTTGTTTAATCCTCTTCCCATTAAACATGCGAACACTGTCATGACCATTTTTGGCTTCACTTCTACCAAGTCGTCTGGTAAGGCATATATACAAGCACCAATTTTCCGAGCAATAGAAATAGCATACCTTGGAAAGAAAAAAGGGAAAAAAATATTTGTTTAGCATTATTTGCTAATGGAAGTATATCGAATGATGATTACTTAGTAACTTTTGTCTTTGCTAATGGGACAATAATTTTCTCCAGTCATAATCTCTTGCAATCTATAAGATATATCCCATTCCAGATAGTTGCCCAATCTCAGGACTAACTTTTCAAAAGAGCTATGAACAATATAGCTGTATTTTTAAAAAAGTATTTGTAACAAAAGTGCATTCTTTCCACCAATCTACAAATAATTTACAGTCATAAGTATGCATTAATGTTTAAACTCTTTTTGTCTGTTTTCTTTTCAACAGTTATGTAATATCTAAAACATTATGTAAAATATTATTAGATATAAATTTTCCAAAACGTTGCACAATTTAAAATGCAATAGAGACATTAAAAATGATATGCTGTAAAAATATGTATTCTTGTAGAAATTTAATAGAAAGTCTAGAAGGGGTATCAATATTTTGCATTAAATTCCAGCTTTTTGTCTGACTTGCTTGTAACAGAGATTTTAAATTTTTTTTAAATTATTTAGTTGCTCTGGGTGCTATTGGCAGAAATATGGGATATAAACCATATAGTTAAATAATGTAGTAAAACCCAAACTAATTAAGAATGAGGTAGAAAAAATAAGGGTGTGGGGGAATATACACTAATTCCTAACATTTTAAAAAATCTTAACAAAATGAACACTTTGTTATTTTAAAAAGGATAGTAAGACCATACTGATTTCTCATGACCAGGAATATCAAGGAATTCTCACTGAAATTGCCTTTGAAAATAGTCTGGAAGTTTGTTATACAAAATGACAGTAAAAAGTACTAGACTCCACAATCTACTCTTCAGTTTATATAAATGCTGAAAATACATTTGAGAAAGAAGGTTGTGTAGATATTTGGTTGTCATTTTCAGATAAGCTTTCAAGAATAGCATCATGGAGACACTATTATAATCTAATTAGTAAATTGCAAAAACTTAGTGACAATAGTAAGGGTTGTATATTCCAGTAATAGCTACAGCTCACACATTAGTTCAATGGATTAGAAAAACTTCCTATTAGGTCATAATGATTCAGAAGTGTTCCCAATTATGGACATAGTATTTTAGAAAGAATACAGCCACATTCATAACATATTTCCAAAACTATCTGCCTAGTAACAACTTTATGAATTCAGTTTTATTTGGATTCACTGTACATTTAACCATCATGATATAAATTATTTCAGATCCCAGACATTGATTCAGGAAAGCAATTCTGTTTTTCAATTGAATTTGTGAAAAGGGGAAATTAGAGCTTGGTGTAATTAACATACTAACCATAACCCTACCATAATGTAATTAACATATTAACTATAATTATAATAAACCTAGGTTACCTCTATTTATATATTTTAACTTTTGTGTTTTATATTTTAACTTCTGCATCATATAATATGCCTTAGATTAATTATGATGCTTCTGATACGTATAAACAAACAAACTCAATTAGCACATATTGTAGATTAAGGCTGTACACGCTTCAAAATGATTTTTTAAAAGTGTTTCAGTCCTCTTGTGATGACTGCTAAAGCATACATATCTATTTTTCAGGCTTCCACATAAATCTGCAAAAATATGTTATTGCTTTAGTGGACTGAGATCATCCTTAATGTGACTCATTACAATTACAATGATGCTAACATGGCTATGATTAAATCTGACTTTACCCATTAAATATTATTTGATTTATGTCAAAGTCTAACGTTATGCTGCATGTACTGGTATTCCATTGAGTGGGATTCTATTTTTTGCAGAAGTAAAGAATGTTGCATCATTGTGCCTAATGCAAATATTTTTCCAGCCAGGACGATTCATTGAAGAAGTAGGATGTTATATGTTTCCCAGCTTTAATACACTTGATTAGATGCATGAAATATTCCCAACTTTGGATTTAATTTGTTTGTGGACTTTAAGCAGTTCTCTGTTGTACTTTAGTTTGACATGGCTATTTTTTGATTCCAGTCAAAAAATATGTCCCAGCGGACATATTGTATTATTGTCATGTTTTTAACTGTTTTATTATTATTATATTTTGTTAATATATTTTAACATATATCAATATGTTGTAAACAGCCTAGATACTTTTAGAGTGGGCAAGCATAATAAATTTAATTACTATCACCACTATAACATCAATAATCATAATAGTTGAAAGATTTAGAATGATTTGTATATTTCTTCCATTTTAAACTTAACAAAGGCAGCTTTAGCCCATACTAAAACATTATTGTTTAAAATGCCATACTTCTATAAACTAGGGCACTTTAAAGGCTTATTAGTTGTTTTCATTCCACAGGATAGTCTTCTAAAATATGCTGCAAGGACTTACTTAGCATTATTTAGCTTGTCTGCTGGTGTTAGATCTTCTCTCTTGACCATTTCTGAGCGGACTGCTTTTGGTGCAATAGCATCTATTAAATCTAATATTGGCAAACTAGTGCTTATGGATTGGTCCTGAAACAAAATACATTAAAGTATTGTTAGTTATAATGATTTTCAGTCATCATAGCTTGTCATCTTTAATTTAGTTTGTCATATCCTTTCCCCTTTTATCCAGTTATTTTCCATGATACATCAAACAAAAGAACCTCAACATGTTTCATTGGACCTCAAAGTTTTTGTTTCCTGAACACTTTTGAGTGTATTTTAGATTTTTGGCTCCTAATCACAAAAATAACTTATAATTAACCTACCATGTACCATTTTATAGAAATATTTTTTTACATAATGGTAATGTACACCCTTCAGTTTTTGTTGGCTATGCTGCATACATGAAACATATAAAAACATGACAGTGTGGTTGAAGGCAGTATTCCACAATATCTGTGGAGATCTAAAGATAGTGGTTTTGCTGCTCGGAATGCAATTTGGTTAAACCAAGTATATTCATGGTATAGGATCTCATGCTGGAACAGGGGATTGGATTAGAAGACCCCAAGATCCCTTCCAACCTCAGAATAATATATGTTCTATGTTCTAAGTACTGTGCTACATGTGCAAATAGGACAACCGTGCAAGAGATTAGTATTACATTAAAAAGAAATGGCTACTCCATTACGATTTCCTTCTACATGCTTATAAATCTATATAGTACTCTGCTTCTTTTTTAATCTCTTTATGATTTTGAGATGGTCTCTGGGTAATACATCTTGTTCCTAGGATTCTAAGATGTACTTCTGTCTTAAAATAGCAGGTGGTACTGCTATACTCAACATCCTTTTAACAGCTCAAGCGGATGAGCATTTTTATCCATGACATCAAGTTATCAGCAGGAGGTGCCCTAGAATGATGTAATTAGCTCTATACTTTAAGAGTTTCACCAAGCTTTTCTTACCCAGGAGATTAAAGCTATGGTTTCAAGATTGGCTCATCCTTTTTAAGTTCCACCATGAACACTGAAAGCAGCATTTTACTATTCCCTTTGAGCTACTAAATGATGTTTCTTAATATCCTGATTGAATATATAATTTTAGTTCTAATTGTAGATCATTTTGGCCTGTTATAACTCTGCTGTCCCTATTTTTCTTAAGTGTAACTCTTGTACTCCAGTGTTAAGATAAAAACTGGCAAAGTTTCAGAAACTGGATTTCTGCAATACATTTTGGCTAACTGGTCAAACTATTTTTACAGTATTTCTGGTGCTGCCATGATCAGTATGCACTTTAGAATATTGTACTTGTTTAAGGCTGATTGAAGGTGTGGCAAAATTTAATGTGTGGATGGAAATAAAAATCGAACTGAAGTAACATTACTTCAGTTACATGAGAAAAGAATATTGTTGCAAATATAGAAAGGATTTGTAAAATATTTAGTTTGTAAGTAAAGATTTGGGGATATTTTTACAAAGTTGTTGATATAGATTAGTTGTTCTGAAAAAATTGTGATGATCAAAATGGTTTTCTCTGAACACTTTTGTATATTTTTAATAGTTTTATGATGCATAAACTGCATAAACCATCTCTGTACAGTATTTGAGTATGATGCAACAATTGCAACATAGGTACAAATGTTCACTCTTTGATAGAAGCTTCTTCCTGTTTTTAATCATCATAAATAATTCTCATTCTTTCCACAAATTATTTTTCATTAAGTTCTACAGAAAAATAGATATAATTATGTTTCATGCCAAACATAGTAATATACCGTATTTTTCAGAGTATAAGACACATCATTTTTCCTCAAAAAAGAGACTGAAAATCTGGGTGTATCTTATACATCGAATACAGCATTTTTTTGCCTCCCAAAGCCCCACCCCTTCACAAAAATGGCCGTGCATAACCTTATGGAGGCTTTCAAAGAGCTCCTGAGGGCTGGAGAGGGCAGAAATGAGCAAAAATGGGCTGTTTTTTGCCCCCCAGCCCCCAGCAGCACTGTATAAGCCTCCATAAGGCTATGCATGCAATTTCTTTGACAAAAAATGGAACCATTTTTGTGAATAATGGGCCTTTTGCTGGTTTTTGGGGCCCCCACCTCCCCAGGAGCAGTCTGCAAGCCCCCCCCCCCAGCTATTCATGCCTTATATATATATATATCTCCCCCTACCTACCTACCTACTTTCTCTCTCTCCTTACCTATCTATTTCTCTCTCTCTCTCTCCCCCTCTATCTACCTACCTACTTACCTAACTACTCTCTCTCTTCCTACCTACCTACTGTATTTCTCTCTCTTTCTCTCCCTCTCTATCCCTCTATCTACCTACCTACTTTTTTAAAAATTTGCCTCTTCAAAACCCCGGTGCGTCTTATACTCGGTGCGTCTTATGCTCTGAAAAATATGGTATATGCCTATATTGTTATCCAAAATCTAATCTGTTTTTACATTTTTAAAATCTAATATTTTAAGCATTTTTATAATGTGTTGAATTTCTGCTATAAATTCATTCACACCCAGATTTTCTCCATGCAATTAATATTTAATAATTAATAATTAATATCCATTTATTTGATAGTCTTTTTATTACCTTGAAGCTAGATATTGAAGTTGTCTTATTTGCATTTGCAAGAGTTTGATTCACCCATTTAATGATAGTTTCATCATTTACTTTCTCCCCTTCTCCAAGGTCTGATAGTACATTCAAAGTATATCTGCAATAGACAGTATATTAACTGTTTAGCAACACGAAAGTTCTCCTGAATTTTCCAGTATTGTTTTACATATTCAACAAAATCTACATGAGGTGTGACTGCATTGCGTTAAGAAAATAAAGAGAAATGACATATATAAAAGCAGATGACACTGTATTGTACAGAAACTTATCACAAAAGATAGTACAGGAATTTAATTATTTTTAACCAAGAGAGTGGGCCTATTTTGATAATTACAGTCAGTATTATTAACTATATCACCCAATTACTACCATTCTTTAAACACATTTCCTAACTAAAACATGGTTCTCCAAAATTAGTGGTGAGAATAGAATAGAATAGAACTTTATTGTTACTTTGAATGTATATTAATTGGCATACATTAAAATGAAATCTTGTTGCATTCCGCTCTCAAAGGGTCACCACTTCCAAAATACACTACATAACCATGACAGAATGAATGAGCGGATGAATGAATGCAAAATTATGCATGTGCCCACATATATGACACAGAGAAATAACAAAGTCTAGTCTGGATATATGCATGTACATTGCAAGAAAAAAACAATGGGGAAACAATGAAGAAACCTAACTGATAGTGGAGCTGAAGGCAGACAGGATGAGTGCTAGTTAAACTGGTGAGCACCAGAATTGTGCTGTCAAAAGACTGTGCTAGCAAAGTTAAAAGTACTTAGTTGTAACCTTCAACCACCTGCTAGTTAAGATCTTTGGAGGCTGAATGAAATGACAGGAAGGATATGCCACAACCAGACTTTGGCTTGCTACTTGGAGAGAAGCAGGTTCAAGGAAGAGCTGTAATGGGTTTGACACAGCCAGCCAGAGTCAGAATTATAGTGAGAAGTATGGAAAGACTGAAATAAAATATTGTGTTGGAAACTTGAGTGGAAGGATTGCAGGAGCAATGGTGTTGAGAATTGAAAAGGTAAAAAAATATTGAATGTATACTTAGTAGCAGGCAGGGATCAAAATTATGAGGAACCTTAGAGTGAGAAAATAGGGAAAATGTCATCTAACTAGCATGTCAAATGATGAAAGGTGTTCCTCAATTTATGACCATTTGTTTAATATCCTTTCAAAATTACAACGGTGCTAAAAATGACTTATAACTGGTCCTTGCACTTACAACTGTTGCAGCATCCCCATGGTCTTGTGGGAGATGCTAGCATGCAGATGCAAACTCATAGTTGCTTGGAATGATGGAGGATTCCCGTACTGATGGGCGGGAAGGAAGTAGGGAGAAAGATGGAAATCAAAGTCTTGTAGTGAGACTGGAAATTCACTGTTGCCCTATGATGCACCATTTTGCCCACTTGAAGGTTACAAACATTGGAACCAACATGAAAGTTTTAGAAATGTATGTATGGCATTCTAGGTTGCAACAGTTTTTACAGAATTATAAGTCCTTTATAACATGACAGACATGCATAGTACCGCACCACAGATTTACTGTACATTTTGAAAAAGGCATATCATAAAGGATAAAAAAGTGGAAAAAAAACATAGAATTGTTATCTGGATTTTAAACTGCTGGTTGAATAAGTTTAGAACTCCTATGGAAAAAGTTTGAACCATTTTTGTCTAATGGTTAAGGGCTTAGGATAGAAACCAGGAGATTGCAAGCTCTAGTCCTACCTTAGGCATGAAAGCCTTCTGGGGGACTTCGGGCCAGTCATGCTTTCTCAGCCCAATCTACCTCATAGATGTGTGGGGGGGGGGTGTTTGGGGAAAAATAAGAGGAGGAAGGAGTATTAGGTATGAGTACTTTTGAGTTACTTATAAATATAATAAAGACCAGATATAAATACAATCTACTTAATTTTTAAAGCCATTGGATTTAGAGAAATATAAGAAAGCCTTACCTTCTCATTAATTGCCAGACTAGTGCCAAGGTCAAGGTTGGTTTGCCTTCATTGAGATCTTTTCCACCAATTCCAACCAATGAAAATCTGGCATTTGTCTTTCCCAGTTCTACAGCATAGTTACAATTTTCAATCTAAAATGATTTGATTATAGATACATGTCAGAGTGTGCACAATGTGATTACTATTTTGAGACAACACTGGAGCAAAATACAGTACCCAGGGGTTTTGTCTTTTGAATAGTTGTTTATCTACAAGGCATACACACACACACACACACAAACACACACACACACACACACAGCAAAACCAGGCAATCAATCAATCTTCAACTATAACACGGAAGCACACAAACAGAGAGAAACTGCCCTCACAGGGCCTCTCTTATGTAGGCAGCCTCTTAAAGTGATAATCCGGCTGGCTCATTCTCATTGCATCATCTTACAGCCTTACAGCAGCTGGTTAGCTATTAAAGCATCATTATCTTAACAATACAAATCATAGTTATTATCCAGTGTTTTAAAAAGCAGATGTTTTCACCTGAAACTTTTGGAAGGCAAAAAATACCACATAGCCGGCACACTTTTATTTTCTTTAATATATCCAGTTAGAAAACGTTTTGAGCAAGGTATCATTTGTATTGTTAAGGTAATGATGCTTTAAGAGCTAACAAGCTGCCGCACGGCCGTAAGCTGAGGCTATGCGAA